TGTGGTCCTGGTTACTATCTACCATCACTGTGTGGTCCTGGTTACTGTCTGCCATCACTGTGTGGTCCTGGTTACTGTCTGCCATCACTGTGTGGTCCTGGTTACTGTCTGCCATCACTGTGTGGTCCTGGTTACTGTCTACCATCACTGTGTGGTCCTGGTTACTGTCTACCATCACTGTGTGGTCCTGGTTACTGTCTGCCATCACTGTGTGGTCCTGGTTACTGTCTGCCATCACTGTGTGGTCCTGGTTACTGTCTACCATCACTGTGTGGTCCTGGTTACTGCCTACCATCACTGTAATGGTCTCTAGTGCTATCAGTGATTATCCCTGAAGTAAGCGGAGAGGTTATGTTGGTCCAGATGTGATCAAGAGCTGTGGCAGTACTATCCGTGATTCTAGTAGGTCTAGTGATTAAGGGTATGAGGAAGCAAGAATTCATACAGTTGAGAAAACTAGCAGCAGGAGGTCTCGCAGAGGTCAAAGTTAAAGTCCCCAGAAATAATTAAGTGGTTTTTGTTTAGTCTGTTCTCTAGTATTAGATTTCTAAGGTTAGAGTTAAATTCAGTCACATCAGTGTTAGGAACTCTGTAGACTACTCCCACAGTCAGGACAGCCTTGCCACCCTTGACTCTGAACCAGGCAAATATATACTCTCCACACGGGTCTCTAGTTTTAATTAATTTTAAGCAAGTCAGTTCTTGGTGGTAGTAAAGAGAAGTACCACCACCTCTTTGTACAGGACGACAATTGTGAATAGCTGAGTAGTTAGGTATGTTGAAGAGTTGGGTAGTATCATCTTTTAACCACGTTTCAGTAACCACAATAAAAGAGAATGTGTTGTCAACTGTTTGAATCAAGGCACTAACATCATCAAAGTGTTTGCTTAGAGATCTTACATTCAAGTTAATAACAGAAACATTGTGATTATGTTAAAACATTATTTACATCATGTGCTGTATAATACCTGCAATTTTGATCATTAAAGTGAAGATTGTCATAGATACTAGATAAGAGGTTTAGGTCTGGGTCTATACTAGTTTGCATAAGAGGACTATTTGATAGAAAAAAAGGCAAAAAAGACAATTATAAAAAGATCTAGATATAAATATATATATATATATATATATATATATATATATATATATATATATATATATATATATATATATATATATATATAAAACTATACTCAAAATTAGGTAGGATGCTTAAAGGTACTTTCAATAGATGACCAATACAAATCAAATAACAATTAATAATTCTATAAAACAAAAACTTACTATAATATTATTATTAAAATATAGTTAATTACTTAAGTTACACTAAAACAAAATGAGGTAGATTAGCTAGAGGTACACTCAGGTACACTGAATGATAAAGTTTACACTAGAGGACACAGGCAAAGTCAGTGTTCAAATGGAATAAGGGAGTATGGAGTATATAAAAAATATAGTAAAACACAAGAAAAAAGTGACAATAACAAGATGACAATTTAAAAAAATAAAATTAAAACCTTTTGAATGGAAAGGCAGAGCTATAGTACACATTGGTCGTTAGATGAGACTATAATTTGTATTCTGGTTATTCAGCTGTTCTCCCACTGTAAAATCAACTCAATTTCTATGTTCTCTGTTAATCCCCAATGTACCTTCTTGTATATAAATAAATAAATAAATAAATAAATAAATAATTAAATGAGTTCCCTCAATTTCTTTCTTTATTATGCACCCCATACCCATCCCGTGGGCGGTGGTGTAAAGGATTACAGAGGCACATAATCGGTTCAGGAACTGAACCCTCTAGTTCGTTTAGCTAAGCAAATAACAATATTTGACGCTAGTTACAAAATTATCAATGTTGTATACACATGTACACACCCTCATACATACATGTACATATATATATATACGTATACACATATACATACACATACATATCTCATCACCCACACAATTACACACATCAATAATCTTTGTGTCACAAGTGACATTACAAGAGGCTCACAACAGTCACTATACGAGGCACTTTACATCTATAGTGAGTCACTAGTCTTGCTGCACACCCACCCAACTGGGCGGCAGCTTTACAGTCATGTGCTCCACACCCACCCAACTGGGCGGCAGCTTAACAGTCATGTGCTCCACACCCACCCAACTGGGCGGCAGCTTTACAGTCATGTGCTCCACACCCACCCAACTGGGCGGCAGCTTAACAGTCATGTGCTCCACACCCACCCAACTGGGCGGCAGCTTTACAGTCATGTGCATGCATTACCTACAGTAAGCAAATTTTGGATACTTCGCTAAAATTTCGGGCAGCACATCATTATGAATGAAGTACTTACACATTTCTTGGACAACATTGATGGTGTTATCTCTAAATTCCGCAATTTTTTCACATTTCATTATATAATGACGCAAAGTATGCGAATAGTTCTGCTGACAGAGTTTACATTTAGTCAAATCTACATCAGCAGATGTTACAAACTCCCAGAGGTACTTGTAGCCGAGCCTAAGCCTAGCAGTGGTAACATCTAGAAGTCTGCTAACATGTTGGGTTATTTGTTGACTTACATAAGGTTTTTGTCACTGTTAACCACAATAACCTTCTTCTTAAATTATGCTTGGATTTCCATGCTTGGAAACAGTAATCCAAATGGGGACGCACCAGAGATTTATACAGTTGAACCATTACCTTCTTTTCCATATAGTCAAAAGTACGCTTCATTATCCTAATGGTTTGGTTAGCTTTTCTGACCGCTGCTTCTACCTGTTGTGTAATTTTTAATGAGTGGAAGATTTTGACTCCAAGCTCCTTTTCTTCATCAATCTGTTGTAATGTAATACTATTTTTTGGGGAGTCGTGGCGTGGGTTGTTATGCCCCACATGTTTGATCTTGCATTTGTCAATATTAAAAAGCATTTGCCAGTCTTGTGACCATTTGTGGAGTTCATGTAGATCTCTTTGTAAGGCTTCAATATCATTATCATTTCCCACTTTACCATAAATCTCTGTGTCGTCTGAAAATTTTATGATGTGGGTTTGTAATATTCTCATCTATGTTATTGATGTGCAGTATATGACAAAAAGGGTAGGTCTCAAAATGTACCCTTAGCGTTTAGTTTAGTTTAGCTCATTTATTATGCACCCCATACCCATCCTGTGGGCGGTAGTGGAAAGGGTTACAGAGGCACATAATGGGCTCAGGGACTGAACCCCACAATTCATTTAGCTAAGCAAGTTACAATCTTGATGAGCTAGTTAGCGTGGCATCCTACTTATCACATTTCTCCATTCAGATTCGTTTTCATTTAGCACGACCCTTTGTTTCCTTTCCTTCAACAATTGTTTGATCAATTCTAATATGTTACCACTTATTCCATGGGCCTGTAATTTCCTTGACAGTCTTTCATGTGGTACCTTCTCGAAAGCTCTAGCAAAATCTGGGCACCTGCACAAGAATATCTTCCAATATTCCTGAGTGTATGAAGTAATTAGAGAGTTCAAAGTACCTCATACCATTTGGTCTGTAGTCATTTATAACATGGTAATCACAGATAGTCTCCGTGGTGTAGTAGTAAGACACTCGCCTGGCGTCCCGCGAGCGCTTTGTCATGTGTTCGTATCCTGGCCGGGGAGGATTTACTGGGCGCAATTCCTTAACTGTAGCCTCTGTTTAACGCAACAGTAAAATGTGTACTTTATAATGAAAAATTATGAAAAAACGATTCTTCGCGGCAGGGGATCGTATTCCAGGGACCTGCCCGAAACGCTACGCGTACTAGTGGCAGTGGCTGTACAAGAATGTAACAACTCTTGTATATATCTCAAAATATATATATATATATATATATATATATATATATATATATATATATATATATATATATATATATATATATATATATATATATATATATATATATATATATATATATATAGTGTAGGAGAGTCCGTCCCAGCTCTTGTTCACATAGTTTACAACTGGAATGTTCACCATTGGGGGATTCATTACCTGCAGCCACACTCCTGCTGGTAATACAAGCTTAGGTATACACAGTAATGTGCTGCTACCCTATTCTATATTTATTTATTTATTCATATATATACAAGAAGGTACATTGAGTTTATGAGAGTACATATAGCATTGATGTTTTTACATTGGTGTAAAGCCACTAACACGCATAGCGTTTCGGGCAGGTTCTTACTCTAACATATAATTTTAAGGAGGTAATTTTTAGTAAAATTTATTTTTTTAACAGGTATATTGTAAGAAAATGTATCAAAGATTAGTAGGCACATTAAAGTAAAATTTGAGGGTTATCAACAGGTACATTGTGACAAAATTTGAGGATTACTTAAAGGTATAATGCAGTAACATATGCGTTCAATATAACAACCATGATACAAGAAGATAGTAATGATTACAATGGTGAAGTTGTATGGCTTAGGTACATATATTGGGGGGATTAGGGTAGCATTAGATACAGTACGAGCTTAAAGCAAAAGGTAGGAAACAATAAAGACGAAATTAGGTACATTTTGGTTTTATTTTTAAATTAAGGCAAAAATTGGACACCTTTTCAATTCGTTAGGGAGGTGAGTTCCATAGACTAGGTCCCTTTATTTGTATAGAGTGTTTACACAGATTAAATTTGACTCTGGGGATATCAATGAGATATTTATTTCAGGTGTCGTGATTATGGGTTCTATTACATGAAAGATTACACATAGCTAGATTTGTTTTATCTACTCATCTTTTATCTAAGTTCAACTAATATTCCCCATCTCACAGGATGGTTAATCATACATGGAATCAGGGGGGAGGTAAAATATTATCTGTTAGATTAAGGACCTGCCCGAAACGCTGCGCGTACTAGTGGCTTTACAAGATTGTAAATACTATGCTATGTATTCTCACAAACCCAATGTACCTCCTTGTATATAAATAAATAAATAAATAAATAAATAAATAAATAAATACTAGCCTCAATAACAATAACAAACGTTGTCATGGTTGTGTTTAGTTAGTTCCCGCGCCGACCCGGCCAAGACGTGACTCCCCGCGCTCCTGGGAAGACAACACTCTTCTCAACAACAGCAACTGCAGAAATACTGCTGGCAGAGTAAGGAAAGTCTGCGGTTTAGCCTGCTGGGGGTTTAAAGCAGTTTTCCTTGTCTCTTTAGTTAAGGTTTGGTTGCGTGTTGTGCTTGTTCTTGCGTGTTTGTGTTGCTGATTTAAAACTTTGCTACAATGTGCTTTTTTTCATCTTACCTGATCTGTTAGATTGATAGATTTTTTATTCAGGTAAAGGTACACACATTGATGATGAGTTCCGAACATAATGTTGAAATTTAAAGATAGAGGTAATACATACAATACCTAAAGCCACTAGTATGCATAGCGTTTCGGGCAAGGTGTTGGGGGGGGGGGGGGGGGGCACTTAGACTAAGCTCAATTACTATTAAGTTTTAAAGCATAAATCGTGTTTAAAAAATAAAAAAGGGGGGGGGGAAACATGGCAGAAAATAGCAATTATACAAGTTGGTCATCAAACAGTATTGTTTAAAATAGTAAGACATGGGTTGACATTTAGGGGTAAGGTAGGTTTCAGGGAGTTTATGAGGTAGTACTTAGTTTTTATCTTAAACTGATTGAGAAAGGTACAATCTTTGGCATGATTAGGGAGGTTATTCCACATTCTGGGTCCCTTGATTTGTAGAGCATTTCTAGTTTGATTAAGTCGTACTCTTGGAATATCAATAGGTATTTGTTTCTGGTGTGGTGCTCATGGGTTCTGTTACATCCTTCTAAGAAGCTTTTAAAGTCATGATTGACATTACAGTTCAGAGTTTTAAATATATATAGAGCACACATGAGAGGATGTGCAGTTACTTAATATCTAACATATTCAGAGATTTGAATAAGGGTGCCGAGTGCTGTCTGGGGCCAGAGTTAGATATTGTTCTAATAGCAGCTTTGTGTTGAGTAATTAGAGGACGTAAATGATTTTGTGTAGTAGAACCCCAAGCACGAATACCATAGTTGAGGTAAGGATAGATGAGAGTAATAAAGCGTCATCAGGGCAGGGTGAGGTACATAATATCTGATCTTAGAAAGAATGCTAACAGTTTTAGGAACTTTTTTTGCTATATTTAGAATGTGTCCCTGGAAATTTAGCTTGTTATCGATGAGGACACCAAGGAATTTACCATCAACTTCGTTACTAATTTGGATAATGTTTATTCGACATTAATTTCATTTGAGGATTTATTACCAAACAAAATATAGAAAGTTTTGTCAATGTTAAAGGTGAGTTTGTTAGCAGTTAGCCAAAGTTGGACTTTATTTAGTTCAGTATTCACTGTAACATTTAGACCAAGAGGGTCAGGACCTATTTTATATGAAAGATTACAGTGTATAAAAAAAAAATTAGCAACGAGTTCATCTAATACTGTGTTGATATTCTTTTGGTGAGGAACATGAACTAACCACTCCCTATATCTTGCATTACCAGATCACCAGAAAATCTCTTGTGATTTCAGTGAAGGTAAATTCAGGTAAGTTCAGTGTCTCCTGGGGGCTACAAGAACTAATATTTCCATAAACTATGCAGTATGTACTATACTAATATTTTATTTTTATTATAAATATTTTACACTTGGTTATTTATTTGGCAATTTATTGAATTTGTTTAATTTTGTTTTAGATAAACAGGTAGTGACAATGGATGAGTGGAGATTTGATGCAGGTGAAGATGAGGTCGATCAGGAAGGGGAAGATGGAAGTGATGAAGGTTCATGGGTCTATGGAGGTCGCACGGCTTCTATTTTCCTGATTGATGCTGCCAAAGAGATGTTTGAAGCTCCAAGTGATGCTGCAGTTGATGGGGAGGAAGCACCATTTAAGCGAGCTATCAAAGTAAGCTTTCTTCTTGCCCATTAGTTTGCCTTTTAATTAACATTTTGCATTTGTATAACAGAAATTTGTTTTTGCTTTTTTTCTGTGAGGGGGGTCCCTTCAGTAGATCCCCAGTGCTTCAACCTGAAAGCAAGCAAGCTTTAGGGAACACAGGAGCACTATAAATGAGTGCCTCCCATTGTCAGAATCAGTTTTTGGTGGCCCAGACAGGCAAAGAGGAGCCTTGGGGATCAAAGCTCATCACAGAACTGAGGAAAAGATCCACCAGATAGCCAAAACAAGTAACTGCTTAGCCTAATTTATAACTCTTGACAAAAATAATGTAAAAAATGAATACTGATCAGTTAGCACATTCATGAGTCCGGTGTGTGATCCGGTATGCTCTGCTCCATTACGTTTCGACTTTAAGATAAGGGATGTGGCTGGGATGCCTTGCCTGGGTGTTGCCTGGGCTACCTCACCCTGGCGTCGCTGGGGCTAACTCTGCACCATGCTGCTCCAGGCTGTGAGCCTAGTTGTCTGCCCTTAGGCCCATTCTTCCTGTTTTATTTTGTTATTTTTTTCTCAGAATGGCCACCTTCCTCTGTTGAGGCCTCCTAGTGCTTTAGCATCAGGAAGCTGCTCAGAGGTACAGGACTGAATGTAATAAAACACCTCTTTCTGACGAGTCATTCGGCAGTTCCCTCGTTCTCTTTGGGAGATAGCGTGTTGTTTCTGAGGGTGGCTCATCAAAAGTTGGCTAGCTGACTGAGTCCAGGTTGCCATGGCTACTATCTGGTGGCAGCTAGACATATTATGGTGTTGGGGTACCTATCTTGCGGATGTTATACATAAGTACTGTTCGGTCCCTGATAGACTACGCAGCACCCGTATTGTCTTACACAGGCCAAGGCAGAATTCAAAAAATAGAGCTGATACAGAACGAGGCTATGAGGATTATTCTTGGATGTCAAAGAAATGCAATGTTTGAAATAATGAGAATGGAATTAAATTTACAGTGTGTGTGTGATAGAGTCCGTGACATTAACACTAGAGTATCTATTCGTTTCATGCAAAGAAAAGGAGGGGATAAGCTGTTTGAGAGCGTTCAGACCTGCTTGAGTGACATACACACTTCCAAAAAACTGAGGGAGACACGCTACACGAGGGGATTAGCTCATGACCTCAGGGAATACGACGTACTTGACTGCTGTAAACCCTCTCGACAGTGTAATATGTCTGCTCCCTGGAAAGTACAGAAAATAGACGTCAAAATTGTACCCCTCAAGGTGAAAAAGATTCATCATGAACCGGGACAATTACGGTGTTTGTATGGAAGCATGATATCTCGGTTACCAAGAGACAACAGTTTACATGTATATTGCGACAGGTCGGTGGCGGAGGATGGCAGGGCAGGGTGTGGTGTGCTAATAAGGGAATATACGGAGTTTGGGACTGTGGACAGGATAATTGAACTCCGGCTTAGTAATTATATATCATCCACACAAGCTGAACTGCAGGCCATTCTGGCGTGTTTGGAGGAAGTACGTCATGACGACAAAAATGTTTTTGTATTTGTCGATAGCCGAGGAGCACTGGAGTCCTTAAACAGTCGAAACCCAGTCTTCATGTCTATAGTTGAGGACTGTAAGAGAAGAATAACTGAGATACAGCTGAAAGGTTATAGTGTGAAATTCATGTGGATTCCATCTCATGTTGGAATAGTGCTCAACGAGGTGGCGGATGACTTGGCCAAACGTGCTACATCAAAACCACAAGTTGACATTGAATGTGAATTCACAATGAGACAAATAAGAAGCAAAATCAGAAATATTCAGGCACAGGCGGGAGTGGAGAGGAGAGAGATAATGTATGAGAGAAGTCAAACCATGCAACACTACATGTATGTGAGTCAAAACACCCATTTCACTTATGGTAAAAGGAGAAATGCTTGGAGTGACTCTGTGTACATGCGGCTCAGGCTTGGGTACAAATATTACTGGGAATATGGGATAGATGTTCATGATAATGACTCGAAGTGTAAACTATGTGGTATGTTAAGGTCTCACACCCTGGCCCATTATGTTCTTGATTGTCCGTTGATTAATGTATATAGAAACACTGAGATAAGGACTGTTCCTGAACAAATAGCATGGATGTGTCACAACGGAAAGGTTGATGATATTCTTGAGAGATATAAGAATTTTGAACCAAGATTGTAATATTTTGTTGAATTATCTGCATGTGTCTTGCAAATTGTCTATACAGTATACCTAGGTCATAAAAGTATTTGTGTGTACGTCTGATAACATACTACAGTACTTGTGAAGGAGGAAATGTATATGTTTATCTCTCAGAATGTTTGGTAATATGTTTATTTGTGATGTGTGTGTATGTATGTATTAACACGTTGTACTGAATGGGGTGAGAATAGCTTGAGCTACTTCATCCCTTTGTGTGTATTTTACCTCAAAAAACTTATTTCAATTTCAATTCAATATTATGGTGGGAATTTACTAGCAGTAACAAATGTTTGCATTATTTTCACAATTACAAATTTTTCCAAGCAGTTGACTGGCAATTCCGCAAGTACTTACGGACGTGAACATCTTTCCTCAATCTTTGACAGCTTTGGTTACATTTATTAAACAGTTTACAAGCATGAAAACTTCCCAATCAATTGTTATTGTTATAAACAGCCTCCTGGTGCTTTGTGTCTCATTAACTGTTTAATAATTGTAAACAAAGCTGCCAAAGATTGAGAAGAGGAGGACAGGTTCGTAAGTGTTTGTGTAACTGCTTCATGAATCTAGCCCCCTAATGCCTGGTACATATTTAGGGGTTTTCAGAGGAGTGGTGTGTTCCTCAAGGCTGGGTCATTAAGTGTAGTTCGAGGACACATTGAGTCACCCACCTGAAAGAAACATTTTATTACATTCAAAGCTTGATTTACATCCATTAAAATCAACATAAAATTTTATATTTTCCAAAATTTTCTTGGTTTTAAGCTTCACTTGCTTTATGCACCAACAGGCAGCTCATGCTACATTGTTGCGTAAAATCATTTCGAGTGATCAAGATCTGGCTGCTGTAGTACTGTTCAACACAAGGGAGACCAAGAATCACATCGACTTTGCCCATGTGTATATATTACAGGAGTTAGAACGTCCAGGTTCAGAAAAAATCCTAATGCTGGAAAACTTGTTAGGAAGTAAGTGAACTGAGGTATGCTATTGTTTATAATTATATATATTATATATATATATATATATAACTCACAATTGATTAACTACTTAAACTGCAAAATGGTTGTATGTAGTGCTGTGCTTAATGTTACAAGTGTTGTAATTGGGTTTATATATTTATATATATATATATATATATATATATATATATATATATATATATATATATATATATATATATATATATATATATATATATAATATAATATAATATAATATAAATATAACTTAGCTTACCCTAATTTTACTATTTGATTGATGTATGCGGTTCCTTTCAAATGTTTGCATGTTGTCATATGGCTGGTGCTTGATTGAGAAGGAACATAACTCTTGAAATTCAAGTAACATAATATGCTGTTGGTGCACAGACTACTGAGTAACATCATTTGATGTTTTTAATTTTCATTCAACTGTTTGAATACCGAAGTTCTTATATCAGTGATATCACTGAGCAGTCACTGCCAATGCCTGCTGCTTCACTACCTTTACAGTCATGCGGGGAAATGCACGTGCCTTAGCTCTCAATCCTTACATGTATGATCTTAAACCTTTAAAAAATCATTAATATAATATTTAACAAGGTACATTTCCTTGCAAGAACAGAACAAATTGAATCTTAACTGATGTCAGGTGTTGACTAATAGCCAACATTTGACTAGGCCAACACAGAAGTAGGCAGCATTGTTCAGAGTGTTTCAAGGGCTGTGGAAATGGTGCTCCAACGGTGGGCACCTTTCCTGCACCAACCACTTGGACGTATTTTAATTTTTTGTTTAATATATGGGTAATTATTATGAACAACATAGTACAGTAATATTTAAAGTGAGAAACCTTAAAATATAAATATTCATTTATGACTTTCTGTTCACCCCTCTCTGTTCTGTCTGTTGCCATCCACAGCATAAGTAAGACTGAAATGAGAAACGAGTTAACTTTGTGGGCTAGCCAGAGACTTGGGGCCCATGCAGGAATATTCTTAGCAAAAAATACACTTGTATCATTGCCAGCAGCAGACATTAAGATTACAGCTTTTCAAGGGGGGAAAAAATAGTCTGACTAACCCTCATCTGCTATGTATTATTGTACAGATGAATATACAGTAGAACCAAACTTTGCATCTGACAGCTCCACATGCTTTGCAGATAGATCAGTAAACCAGGTGAGACAAGAGTTTGCAGTTGCAGTTAAGGCGGGAAAGTGTAAAAGGTAGATGGCGACTCAAATATGGTTGCTGGCCATTCAAAAGACTTCGGAACTGCTCTTGGTGAACACTGATAACACACAATCATACATATGGTACATATTTGCAAGCTACCATTAAAACCTTTGAAACTAGAGCACTTATGTGACAACATCTATCTGACTACAAATGTTATAGCATTAACTCAAGCACTCAAATCTCAAGGTCATCAAATATTTATCAACTGGGTGTCAAGTTGTGTAGGAATACCTGAGAATGACAATGAAGATGAAGATGCAAAACTTGCAACTAAGAGAGATAATGTAAACATTGGGATACTACAGAGTCTATTAAGAAAATAATTAGAGATAAAGCAATGCAGAAGATGTTTGGGTGACTATAACACAGTAACTGGAGCATCATGATTTGCAGGTTGGTACAATAATTCAACTAAATGTGAACCACATATTTTGAAGAAAGGGAACAATAGAAGAACAAAAGTGCACCTAAACTGCATCAGGCTTGGATACCCATGTTCATGGGAAGTATCTTTACAGATTCCAGAAGAAGAGATTAAATGTCAGTACAGTACTCACAGGCCCATTGTTGATGTGATGACTTATATTGAATTTTGTAACTAGCTCATCAAGATGTAACTTGCTTAGCTAAATAAACTGTGGGGTTCAGTCCCTGAGCCCATTATGTGCCTCTGTAACCGTTTCCACTGCCGCCCACAAGATGGGTATGGGGTGCATAATAAATGAACTAAACTAACTAACAGGCCACAGGAAAATTATCAAACACGTTGCAGAGATACAAACCAAATGAGATCACCACAGAGATTTAACAGCACAAAAGAAGTTGTTAAACACATTGGACATAATCTTACTGAAGCCATCTTACAATATATAAACACTTATCCAATGCCTTACTAAGATTGAAATGAGTAACACTTAGTGGGCCAGTTAGGGGATTAGGGCCTATTAAAATAAATAAAATTTATATATATAATGCTATCCATGGAACATGATCAGCCAGTTGGCTTATAACCACATCTCCAATTACGATGGTTGAAACAAAGAAAACAAAGGGTAGTGTTAAACAGGAACGAATCTGAATGGAGAAATGTGGTAAGTAGGGTACCTCAAGGGTCCATTTTGGGGCCAACCCTTTTTGTCATATACATTAATGACAGAGATGAGAATATTACAACCCACAACATCACACTTGCAGATGACAAAGATTTATGGTAAAGTGGGAAATGATAATGATATTGAAGCCTTACTAAGAGATCTACATGAACTCCACAAATAGTCAGAAGACTGGCAAATGCTTTTTAATACTGTACTGACACATGCAAACTTGCATGTGAGGCATAACAACCTGTGCCACAACTACCGGATCTACAACTACCTACCATTACATTACAGCAGGTTGATGAAAAAAAAAGGACCCGGGAGTCAAAATCCACCACTAGCTGAAAGTTGTACAACAGGTAAGAGCAGCAGTCAGAAAGGCTAACCAAACTCTCTCTAATAATCAAGCGTACCATTGAATTTATGGAAAAAATGTAGTGATTCAACTGTGTAAATCTCTGGTATGCCCCCATTTGGATTACTGTTTCCAAGCATGGAAACCTCATCTTCAGAAGGACATAGCTGCTCTGGAGAAAGTACAACACTGGGGCAACAAATGTCATTCCAGAGCTGAGTCATCTCTTGTATCAAGAATGGTTGAGGGCCACAGGCCTAGCAACATGCAAACCTTGCCTGCAAACCAGACATGACAGGGCTGATCTCATTGAAACTTAAAATACTGAACAAGTTGGAGGGTGTTGATCCTGACAACTTCTTCTAAAGATCAGATGTAACATAAACAAGGAGCAATGGTTTCAAGCTCAATAAAACCTCAATGTATGACTGAGAACAAGAGAACTTTTTCACTCACAGGGTTATAAACCCATGGAACTGCCTTCCTTCTGAAGCTGCAAATGCCAAAACACTCTTAGGTTTAAAATCCACATGGAGAGGATCATAAAGGCAAATGGGGGGGGGGACCTTCAACAAGCCACTGGCTTCCTGTCCTTGTTGAAGCCATTAGTGTTAGTGGCACTCTGGTAAATCGGGTAAATATCCATCACTAGGTCAAAAAAAGGGGGTCAATGCTGAATTTTGCTTAAGAATATAGTTCAGTTCTTAACTTATACATGTGAATTCATTAGTCGGTTGAACAATTATGTGAAGAGATCTTCATGTGAATGGTCAGATGGATGGATGGATGGATGGGTGTGGATCTTTTCTTGCATTTCCTCTATTTGGCTGCATTGTTCCATTCAACATTCCAGTCACCTCATTTGTTTTTGCTTTGTCCCATTTTAGCCTGACTATTTGATTAAGTAACTATCAATGATCTAAATAGGTACCATAATTATATTCATGTTTTCAGTGAACAACCAAAAATTTGAAAAGGACTATGGACACAGCACTGATGCCAGTCTGCATGATGCTCTCAGGGTCTGCCAAAGTGTCTTCAGTAAATGGTATTGTTGTGATCAGTTTGCTTAGACAGTATTAATTCTGGGATAGACCCCTCAGTAGCATTGAACCACTTGGAGTTAGACTGGTGTTGATTGATTGATTGATCAAGATTAGGCCACCCAAGAAGGGCACGGGCATGTAAATATGATGATTCGCTGTTGACTGGTTATATTACCGGTACACACCTCACTTGACCATATTCTAGCAGGTTGGGAAAAAGTATTAGCTGTAATTAGTTGTACAGTTGGGAAGAGGTATTAATTGTAATTAATTAAAATGCAAATTGTATAACTTAATATTAATGTTCAGGTTCTTTTTCTGTAAGCAGTGAATGCATCGAGTTATTCATTACCTCATTTTGAACCATAAGAAAAGTGTATGATGTTCTTTACAGCACAAGTCGACTAGCTGGGCAGAGCATCATGCTTTTCACTTGCCGAGATAATCCTCATGCTGGTGATGATCAGAAGCAAAGGCAAGCACGACGTAAAGCTCAAGACTTGAAAGAAGCAGGAATTGTACTAGAAATTCTACACATGGGAGAAACTTTTGATGTAAATAAATTTTATAAGGTGAGATAATTAATTTTAGACTATTTTTACTTGGGTAAAAGACATGATGAGTGTATTTAAAAAAACTGCATCATTTATAAATATCTATATAATGTACAGTATTTTGCTTTTTGTTCTGTCTCAACATTCCACATTCTTAATAGAGTAATGTAGTTTCATGTAGACTTTCTCCCCAGATATTTCAGTTGCTTATAGATATTAAGAAACATTTAGAAAGCACAAAATTTAGTTTGAAGTTAGTGTTCAAATTGCCATTACTTCAGTTGTTTGATGGTTAAACAGCCATTCGACAGTTAACCACCGCACTGCGCACCTGGTTTCAGCAAAAACTTCATAGTGCAATTGTTTTTATAAATGTTCAGGTAAAGTTAGTCAAAATGTTTCCAAACTCAACCATTTTCATTTCAAAACAGTGATGAAAACATTAAAAAACATTAAATTATAGCCTAATTAAAAACAAAATAGCACAACTCTGCGCAGCACGGTGGTTAAGAAATGTTAAAGTTTATTTATTGTACTGTGAATCAAGATTGTTCATGATTAAAGCTTGCCTTATCAAGGATTCAGGAGTGATAAGCTAGAAAGTAGGAGGAGGACAGAGTAAAAAGGGTAATAATGAATTATTTGGTCAAATAATTTATTTAATTTCCACAGTCAAAAACAAGAAGCCTGTATTGAGGCTTTTTGAGGCCCCCCTAAGCCAGCTACTGACTCCCCGGTACCTAATTTAGTGCTAGGTGAACAGGTGAAAGGAAACAGGCATCAGGTGAAAGGAAATGTGTTCAATCATTTGTCCTGCCCAGGAATTGAACCTGTGTCCTTTGCTTGTGAGTTGAGGTTGTAGACTAATTTAATAATAATAATAATTATAATAGTAATACTGTATAATAATAATAATAATAATAATAATAATAATGTTTATTCAGGTAAAAGTACATACATAGAAAATGAATTACAAACAGAATGTTGGATTTCTAGATAAAGCTAGTATATACTCTGCTTAAAGCCACTAATACGCACAGTGTCTCGTGCAAGTGCTACAGGACCCTATTAGCCTCAAGAGCAGTGCAGCATACATACTGGTAAACACACTGTCACAATCAAAATGCATTGTCACAGTCAGCTGGGTCTGCAGAACTAGTGTTTTCCAATAAGTTCTAGGATTCAGTCACTGTAAGCGTAAGTGATAGTTGTTGTGGTTCCTGCAAAAGGTACGTGTGTGGTGTAAAATATCAAGTAACATATAAAGTTAGAAATGTAGTATCAGTTACAAAACAGCAATATGGTAGTTGCAGTAATACAGTTAACAAAGATGTCAAAATGATTGAAATACTTTGCCATAAACAAATTTAATGCTATAATAGTACTTATATAAAAAATGGGAGTTATTCAAAATGCAGTAAAATTTATGAAAAAGAAATGTGTTCAAGAGACTGGGTAAAGTTGCTTTTAGTAGTGGACAGCTGTTAGAGTTGGAAAGACAGTTTATTTGATATGAGACAACTCTAAAATGGACAGGTAGCTTAGAATACATAGTAGACAGGTGGGAGTACTGTATGGGATCAGATCTGATTGTGAAGTGTGGCAGAGCATATTCACTCCTGTTGTGTGTCCTTTTTACTATATTAGGCTGAGACATTTGTACACAGAGTGAAACTGAAAAATTTAATGATGAGTGAAGCTGAGCGTCAAGTGGCTCATTGTATTCCTGTCTGTCTTAAAATATACCTTGTGGGCTATCTGAAGGATTTTAAATACAAATTATAGTTGGAAGACTATAGGTTGTTACAGTATAGAAAGTGATGGGTAGATAGCTGTATAATACTCTGTATGTATATATGTATACTCTTTAAGAGATGATTATGTAAACTGTTCTTTGGTATTGTATATCATTGCACACATTTTGGATATTTTCACCTGTACACTGGTTTAGTGAGGCTTCCAGCTGTGAAGTTCATTAATAAATACACCTGTTGTAGATTAGAACCTTACAGGAGTCGCATGTGTCTATGGTATGGTAATTAACTCACTCATCCTGCCTACTTTGAAACCGAACAAGGCCTGAATTTAAGCCACGGTCAGGGAGGGAGGGAGGGACACTTGATCACCGATTCTTAACACTTTGCCTATGTTAACCCGGCACCAATTGAGGACCAGTTAGAGAGTTGATTAGCAGATTGTGTTATGAGGAACCCTTGTAGATCAAGACTGACAGTGAACTGTGGGATGGGAGAGCTCTTAGATAGCAAAGAAGTTCTGTTATCATGTACCCTCCAGTGGGGAGGGGGGGGGGAAGGAAGTATTCAACATGGCATTCACTGATTACAGTTGTACATATCAGTCTTATCCCACTGGTATATTCAGCATAATAGGTGTATCTCCACCCACGTGGACTCCACCACCAATACCTTCATTGCTCTTATCACGTCACTTTGAGATCCTGCTGTATTTCGGCCTTATTTGACATGTAGTTAGGCCTATGTCAAGTGTGTAGATGGATCTCTTCAGAGAAATCATGGCAGAACATTGACTGTGAATGATGCGGTAACAATGTCAATCAAGGAAAATTGCAGCTTTGGTGACAGCACATTATGCAATAATAGGAAAAGTCAGTGGGCACTTTCAAGGACCGATTTGAGATATTTCTTTATTGTTGTTTCCTAAATACTGCATGATTGTGTTTTATGCTACCCACATTGTGTTTGCCTATCTTTATATTTTGCTTCATCTGTGAGCCACGGGTATTTTCCTTGTTTTCCCCTGTCCTGCCAGAGACATTTGCTCTGAGGGGTTTCAGTTCCTTCTGTGTGTATTGACCTCTCTTGAGTCACATATATCTGGGTACTGCATGGGACTTGTTCTCAAATGTGATGATTTTTGATGGAGAGTCTAGTAGTTAACTGTGTGTTGTAATTGCACCTGGCTGTGCGCTTTGTTCATGATGGGGTCTTCTACTTTCTGTGAGAGGTGCACTTGTGTAGTGCACATGATTGTTCTTATCGGCAGCTTTATACACCTAGCATCACAAAGTATTCACTCTTGTAATTCAGGGTTTGCATACCAGAGGCATTTCTCTGGTGCCTGGCTGTGTGACAGGCCTGGTAACCAGTATCCTTCGTCCCTGTAGAAATTGTTAGTCGTGTCTGCATTGTTGGATGGTTTGTTTTGCTTCCTTGCCAGACTCCATACCTGAATCTGCAATTTGCAGTGGCTGCTGCCTTTCTGCCTGTTGATGCAGGACCACCCTCTTCCTAGCTCCCCCCCTCCCCCATGTGCACTGTTGAGGGCTCTGCTCCTATTGGGGATGCAGTAAAATATATGCCCTTGTGGCATTGGCTGCCAGCTTCTGCCCTTGATTTGGCAGCTATGGTGCCTCCACCTGTCTCTTGGTAGCTCATTGTTTTGTGGGCCTTCTTGCCTTGCCATCCTGGTGTTATGCTCACTAGCTGCTAAGGGGGCTTGCTTTTGTTATTGAGTGCATTCTGAATACCTTCCTCCTTTGTGCCTACCTGCTCTGGCCAATATTTAGAGTTCTCCATTTTTGGTTGGCCTTCTGTAATGGTTGGCACCTGTGGTTCATGCATCTCTGCATTTCACTGGTTGATGTGCTAGTGGTGGCAGCAGATGGGGTTGTTACCTCAGTGGTATTGACAATGGCCTTGGAGTGTACCTTTGCACTGGATGCTCCTTGGTTTGTGTGTTTTAGAGGTCTCACCTTTGGTGGGTTAAGTGAAGTTCGTGGCCCCTGTGCATGGTGCTTCTTACCTTTCTGCTTCCCAATGTTGAGCTAAGGGAGGGTTGTAGGATTAATCTCTGGCCCTCCTTATCAGGCACCTTTGCCATCAGAGGTTCATTTCAGTTTTTTGTTTTGTCTTATGTGTGGGGGGGATGTTTGTTTGAGGAGGTCCTGGCTTTGGCCTGTCTTCTTCTTTTGTGCCTTGTTACATCTAGGCCAGAGATTATTTTTTCTTGGTAGACTTATTTGGTTTTATCTCCCCCTGTTTGTTTTTGATACCTCCTTCCCTTCCTCCAGGTGTATCTCCAAGTTCCAGGTTCGGAGTCGGTTTTGCCTTTCTGCTGATTTCTGTTATCTGTCTTTCTCTCATCTTGGTCAATGGAGATTCTGTTCCAAGACCGTATTAGTGTGTCAGTCCAGGTTCCAGCTCCAGGTTCCAACTTGACTTTATTTAGTTTTTTTTTTCATTTTGTTCTTGGTCACTCCCTCCTGTCCATTCTCCCTTTTGGTCAGTTTCTTTTAAGGCTAGGTGCAAAAGAAAGTAGGTTTGAGTTAGGGCACCCTTTTTATAATAAATGACTATATGTTCCAAGTGAGAGTTAACATGAGTTTTGATTGTCTGTGATGCCAAGAAGCGCTTAAAATGGGTTTTAAGTTTAAAGTACAAGAAAGAACTTGGCAGCACTGGTTTAAAAATATTCCTTCTGTGCTGGTTCAGAATGTCGTCTACCTGCCCTAACTGAGCGTGATCCTATCCATGTAAACAGTAGAATTTTGCCTTAAGGAACAACCAGTGTCTTGTACATAGATAAATTTTCATATACTGTATTGTGCATGCATTCAAAACCTGGATTTTATGTGAAAGATTTAAAAAAAATTAATTACATTAATTATTAGAGAATATTGCAATTTCTATCTTCAACAGGACCTGGTAAAACTTGATGAAAGTGAAGATGATAATTCACAAGAAAGTATTACTCTGGCAGATCCCACAAGTCGATTTGAAGAGTTGATGGAGAGAATGAGACGGCTTGATCACAAACAACGTACCACTGGAAGAGTTATGTTTACTTTGGCTCCAGGGGTGGAGATGTCGGTTGGTATCTACACGACTGTTAGGTGAGAACATTGCTATTTTGTATTGAAATATTGTACAATTGACTTGCTATTTCTGTTATAATGGATTACTTACCTGAGAATTCTGCATTTAAATTATTTTATTCGTTAATAATAATTGTGATGTTAATAATAATACAGTAATTGTGATATTAATAATAATTGTGGTAGGATAAAACTCCACACTTGTGTATTTGCAAAAATTTGTGCAAAGAAATAAAACCAAGTCTTTTGCTCTCCTGAGTGCTTTATCAAGGTCTGAGTACAGTATGTAGTTAGGATGTAAGGGTTAGGTTTTTTGTTTTCATTTTCGTTTTGACTGGATTCATATTGGTGGGTTAGTGACTCGGCCAGCCCAGCCTTGGTTTCAGGCACTGCTTGTTTGGTGTCCTAACCTGGGTATTTTTTCACGGCTCCGCCTCTTTCAGTAGGTCGGGCCTGTGAGGTACCTTACTCGTTCGGCTTACTGCTCCGCACTACAGGTCTGGTCTTTCTGACAAGTGTATATCGCCATTTACATGGTGATCGGGTGGCTTCTTTGATCGTGTCTCACCTGCGGTCTTCTTCTCAGCGACTGTATGTAGTTTCTTGGCGATATTTTCATCATTTTCTTTCTCTTCGTTGGGTTTGGTCGATTTCGGACCAGGTTGTTTTGTCCTTTTTTTTTCTTGGCTTTTTCTGGATCGGCATCTCATGCTTAATACTGTCGCTTCGTATCGCCCGGCATTGGTGGAGCTACTTCTTGCCTTTGGGGTAGATTTTACTTCCGCTCCGTTCCGCTAGCTTTCTTGTGTATTTTTCACCTGTGGCCTGCTCATGTGCCGCCTGAGCATTCTTGGTCTTTGGATCGAGTTCTTTTATCTCTTTCTTCTCCTCGCTTTGTTGTGGCCCCTTCGGTTCGGGATTGCATTTGGAAGGCCTTCTTTAGTTGGCCTTGGCCTTTGGGTGTTTGGTTGGAGAGCTTCATGCTCTCCTCCGATGTCTTGGGTTCTGTTTGTTTGGTCCTGGTCGTCGTTTTGTTCTTTTGCAGCCTTCTTCTTTTATGGCAAAATATGAGGTGGCTGGTTTCCGAAAGGATCCGTTGGTTATGGATGCTTGGTAGGTTAGGCCATGGGCATGTCACGTGTTATGATCGGTGGCGACTTTACACCGCTACCTAAGGGCCACTGGTTCTGGGACGGTGGATGCTCTCAGGGTGGATCCGATTTCCTTGGTTCCCTTTTCAAGGGCTCGTGTGTCTCAGGTTGTCTGCGATGTCATAAAGTCTAGCCAGCCTGCGGTTTACCTCCGTGCCATTGATGTTAGGAAGTATGCTGATCTCGCGGCAGCTTTTGGCTACATTTCTTGTTGTCAAAAAGGCTCTCTGACACCCTCCCTCCCTCCAGTCGGCTGTTTTCATCATTCAAGAACTGGAGTGGTTGGTTGCCGGCTCCCCCTTTCCCCTTAACAGTGGAGGGTTGGAGGGTAGTGCTAATGAGCGGGAGTGACAAGTGAGAGTACTTTTTGCATGAAGTGTTGCATGTTGGGTTTCTTTCTAGGGAAGTTATTTTGATCTTTTAGGATGTAGATTGCACAGGTTAACCAGACAGTGGTCTGTTTTGATTCGCCTACCTTTCTGGGTCCTTCCCCGGTTGATGACAAGTGTGACATAATTTAAATGTAAAGTGGTCGTAGACCATTGCTTCCTGCACCTCTCTGAGGGGGGCCAGGTTCTGGCTCGTGGTCCCCAGTAGGCATAAGGACTCCTGTGACTGATGACCCCAAACTAATATAGCACATATTCCAGAGAGCTTCAGGAAGAAGCAGCTCACCCAGAAAATGGTGTCATGACATTCAACACTGTTTTATTTTTTGTGGTGTATGCTTCTGCCTTTCAAATTGCTTGTCTTGGTTGTCCATTTCAGTTGGTCTTATTGGCCAGTTTGACTTCTTATCCCATATACCTTTAGTTGGCAGGTGGGTGATCTAATTTTGGTCGTTGCCTTCCTTTTTCATGGGGTGATGCCTGGGGTCTGGTTCTGAGACCACTACAATAGGACAAAAGCCTATCCAGAACTCTATTGAATTCACTGGGAGGTTCTGGAGTCCTGAACCAGTGCCCAACCAGGATTTTATGATAGACCCGCTTGCACTCTGGCCTGTGGGTAATGGCATTCACACCCTCGCAGCCCCCCTTCAGATTACAAAAAATCACAATGGCATGATATATCAATGAGAAAACCATTTGTTTAATGAGGTGACTTGAACCTGGCACTAGTGATTCCCAGACACCTGCCTTAACCCACTCAGCCACACTAGGCTTTTGTCCTATCGTGGCTGATTGGGTTAAAGCAGGTGTTTGGAAATCACCAGAATGCCGACCCAAGTCGCCTCATTGCCCCAAAATAAGTTTCTCATTGATATATCTTGCCTTTGTGATCTATTTACTTTGTTTTCTATCATTTCTGTTTCTAATACAGTGCATGGTTTGTTTTACTTCAACAGTACTTTCTAGGCACTTTTTCTTGGTTTTAGGACAATCTGGCCCCATGCTCTCCTCACTTCTATGAGCACCAAATTCTGTTCCTGATATTTGTTAGGCCTATGCAAGCTCAGAGGCCTAGTAGTATTGAGTATCTGTGTGGTACCAAAGACTAATGCACCGGGAAGCTCCCATGGGCCACCCATTTTCATTACATCAAAGCTTCGTTTTAATTATTCAGGAAGGTGAGCAAACCCTACAAGCTGAAGTTGTGGAAGATCTCCAATGAAGAATTGAGATACATGAAGAAGGAGTATTTAGAGGTATGTACTGCTGTACTCTAATGCCATTCATGCAGAGTATGTAAAATATGTTAGTCTTGAGGATTAGTAAAGTTTCTTTCTGTACATTTTATTGTGCTTAACACAAAAGATTTTATCATCTCAAACTGAATTTGTTTAATGTAATTAATATATAATTCCTTCTAATATTATAAATATAATTTATGAGAAATTAGTAATGATCAAGATGGCTTCTGCAGTAGAAGAGGTTTATTGTGTCAAATATTTGCATTACGACAGCTTATAAAGAAAGTACATAAGCATTATAAGTAGTTAAGTACAGTACAGTATATAGTAAGTAGTCTCAGCATTTTCTTAGGTATGGCAGTGAGCATGGTTTCTTGCATCAGCTCTTTTGTAGTACATCCCAGAATTGTTGGAGTGAAGGGACTTCTGAACACCTTTCACAACACCTTGTTCCGGGATGCCTCGGTTTTTCAGATCTTTATCTGGGGCGTTTTGCACTGGCCTACCTTAACAGCTGGCTAATTGGGGCCCCGGTCATCAGGGTTGTTTGCTGTCCAGGAATCTAGTTCTTTGCCTTTTGGTCAACTTGCACATGTCCCAGTTTGTGCCTTCTCAGGTTCTGGCTTGGCTGGGATTGGTTTAGGATGTCAAGCCGGCATCTCTCAACTCTTCCTCAGTCGGTTCTGTTGTGGCTGTGCCTATGTCTCCAGCTGGTATTGCGGTGGTCTTGGCATTCCATCAAACTTCACTGCATGGAGTTTCTAACTATTGTGTCCTGTCACTTGTAGGAGAGTCTGGTAACAGACCTTTTGATGTTTTATTTGCATCTTTGGGGCAGCAGTATATGGTGACTTGGCAGGCCTTCCACTTGCTTATTTCTCCTCTGTGTTTGTTCTGTGTTGGTTGCCATTGTAATTTTCTTTCTGTCTTGGCTTTTCCTGGATAGTTAATGCCTAGTACTGAACTGTCCTCGCTTCCCCTTTTCTCAGGATGTCTTCCTTGTTATTTCTTCTCCAGCCAACTTGGCACACCCTTCTTTTACTGGGGTGTTTTGTAACTAAACAAAAAAAGTACAACCCATGACTATTTTCGTTTATTTCATTGTTTATTTTTTGAACGTTCTTTTAATATGGTTTTGGTACCTGCCCTGTTTCCTCTTTTCAGGTCAGCAGTTTAGTTTCTATTTTCGGACAAGTGTATTGCAATACAGGATGTGAATCTTATATTTCTAGATGTGATGTTTTGTGTTGACGCAACTGGCCACCAGAGCGGCACACCCGGTTGTGGCACTCCATCACGGCGCTCTGATTTGTTGTCATTGACTCATTGCAAATGGCTGCTGGGTGGATGTCAGTTCTCATTCCTTTTACATTTCTTTTGGCATTTTTCGTTTAGATTATGATCCATTGTTCTTACCGGTAACTCTGTCATCACGAATTGTATGGCATGTATCGTGTGGATATGTATGCTGGGTGGGAAGGTAAGTGAGATGTTGTGAGCTTCCCTCGTACCTGCAGTTGTGTCATTAGTAGTTTTTCGTAGGTTTGTGCTTGCCTAGTTGGTCTCATCTTGCTTGCGGAGGTTTGAGCTTCCCCTGTGGCTGTAGGCACAGTATAGGCTTCTACCCTTGTGTCACAGGTACTTGGTTCTTAGTTCACTTTTCTATCATGGCTGGTAGTTTGTCTCATAGTTTCATTCAGTGTCCAATATGTCAGATACCTTTGCATTCCTGTGGTGTCTTTTCTTGTATGGGTGAGTTGCATTGATTTACATTGTCTTTGATTTGAATGACATTTAGAGGCCTGTAGCCCCCTCACTAATCAAAGGCCACCTATATTGCCAATCCTGCTAGGCCTCCAGGGTACCTCCAAAACCTAAATATATTGTGTACTTAGGTGCCTCTTTGCATTTCTGGACTGCAACAGGCATTAAGGCATTATATAGTCTGTGTATAGTCTCCTATTCCTGGAGACCCTCCGCTATCATACCAAGTTTATTAAAATGCCAGACACACATTTTTTAATTTACATTATTGATATGATAATGATCATATAATGTATTAATGATGATTATTAATACAGTGATGATCATGTATGTATTAAATATCTCAAATGGAAAGCAGGTCAAGGTCATATTGGTTCCCACATATCTGTTCACGTACGTTTTTTTTTTTTACATATACAGTATCTTGGTTTGCTTTATCATTATGGTTGTGTAGTACAGTATTAGCATAATAAGTCTTTAAAACTTGCAACATGTTTCAGGATACTGGAGAGTTGCTGATGCCATCTGATTATGTGAAATATCAGACATATGGCGGACGACAGATAAAGTTTACAATGGCAAGTAAATAAATTTTTGCACTATATCACAATAACATGATGAATCTATGAATGCATATTGAGGTCCGTATGATGGGGGATTGAACCTGCGCTCCTCAGCACCTCGGGTACACACACTGTTGACTGGACTGGTGGGGTTAAAAGTATCCCGACCAGAAATACTGCTTGAGTTGGAAGGCACCAGCCGGCACCATAATCCATGTTTTAATGACAATTTTGCCCATGCATTGGTGTTCAGTTATGCACATTATCTCCCAGTTCTGTCAATACACAGTGAAAATCACAATAAAGTGTGCATGCCCGAGGTGACTAGGGGCATGGGTTTGATTTCATCATACATCCTCAATATTTATGTGTTCATAATTTTTGTGAATTCTACAAATATTTTCAAAGTGTTATTGTTTTCTGTAGTATTTAATGCAATTTATTATATTTAAATTATTAATTGTTCTTCATCTAATATGTATTCATCCTTCCTTTCATTGTCTTTCAATCACTCAGGATGAGGTTCGCAGTCTTAGTAAGGTCTATGATCCAGGAATGCAGCTCTTGGGCTTCAAGCCAATCAGCAGCATCAAGCCATATTTTCACATCAGACCTGCTAATTTCATATACCCAGATGAAAAGTCAGTTCAAGGTAAATTGAAGAGTTGCTGAGTATGTAAGTTCCCACACTAGTTTACTTTAATGCTGCATTTTCAATGTCATTAATTGATTCTTGTAAAAGATCAGTTTCTCAAAGTGGCCTGAATATTGAATTATTCTGGTAGTGTATATAGTGATAGTATATTTATTTTGTGTGTGAGAACAAGTAAAGGTGAGAGTGATTACGGAGGAAATTGAAAAGTGATGAATTAAAAAATAATTTGTATTCACGGACAATTGTTGAAATGAGATGTGCTGAAAATATTTTAATGCAATAAAACATAATCTATTTTACTTGTACAGGTAGCAACAAAATGTTTGCAGCTCTGTTGAATCGCTGTCGAGTACGGAATATGGCAGCAATTGTGCGATTAGTGCCACGTCAAGGTGCCTCAGTGTCGTGGGCAGCATTGATTCCCCAGGGAGAGCAGCGGGATGAGAAGAATAGTCAAGTCACTCCTCCAGGGTTTATTGCCTGCCACTTGCCATTTGCTGGTAAAGTAATCTGTATTTTCAGTCATTCTTTTCATGCTTACCCCTGACTTAGGACCAGCTGTCATGCTTCTTTTTTTTTTTTGTGAAGTACTGTAACATGTTTGTCCATGCTTTAATTTTTATCATCATCACTACCATATCCAAGTATGAAGTCGTCAAAATAATGCACAGATTCGAGAACTGCCATTGAAACTTTGCAACAAGAACATATACATGACAACATCCATCTGATAACAAATGTTATATCATTAATGCAAACACTCAAACGTCAAGGCCGTCGGGTACTTATCAATTGGTTGCCAAGTCATGTGGGAATAATAGGAAATGACATTGCAGATGAAGCTGCAAAACTTGCAACTAAGCGAAGAAATGTAGACATTTATATACCACAGAGTCTATCACAGATTAAGAAAGTAATTAGAAATACATGTAGAGCAATGCAGAAGATGTACAGTGACCACAACACAGCAGTTGCAACATCAGGATCTGCAGGTTGGTGCAAGAATTCAACCAACTACGAACCACTTACTGTGATGAAAGGGAGCAGTAGAATAACAGAAGTACACTTACATCGCATCAGGCTTGGATACCCATGTGCATGAGAAATAGACTTACAGGTTCCAGAAGATGAGAGGAAATGTCAGCACTGTGGATAATGCCCAACAGACCACTGGAACATTGTCTAACACAGTGCACAGTTATAAACCCAATAAGATTTCAACTTAGATTCAACAGAGCAGAAGTTGTTGTTAAACACATAAGGCAAAATCTTACTGAAGCGACCATACGAGTCATAAATACTCACACTCTGCCTAAGTAAAACAGAAACAAGCAACACTAAGTGGGCCATCCAAAGGCTTAGGGCCTGTGCAGGAATTTCCCTGCAAAAAAAAAAAAAAAAAAATGCAATAGTAGGTCTGCCCAGACTGTTGCAGCATCCATCACAGAGCAGACATGAGTGACTTGATGTGCTCTGCCCCTGACCCCTCCAAATTGGGCCTAGAATTTATTCATTGGTGGCATAAATAAAACAGCCTGGCAGAGATAAGTGGCATTAACCCTTAGACTGCAGTTATCATCAATTGTTGATTCACAGGGTAATACGGTTATCAGCATATGAAGATTTAAAAAATTATTGTCTTAGGTTTTTACATGTATAATTCAAATATGGATACAATAGGTCTGTGTGGATGTAATGGAGTTTACCTTGACCCATGAAAAAATCCTACTACCATTTCATGGTACAAATATGGTTATCGTTATGAATGTTACTAGGGAGTAATGCAGTCATCATCATGTGATGATTTAAGCAATTATGGTCTGGGTGTTACATGTGTGATGAAAATATGGATATAAAAGCTCTCTGTGGATGTAAGTAAAGAAAAACAAGTGATAAAACAATCGGTGAAATGTCAGAGAATAAATCAATAAGCGTTAGCAAAATTGAGCACCAGGCGTTGATAAGCGCCAGACGCAGACTTACAGAATGCGTTCACCCAGTGAAACCATAAATATTCACGTATTGTCATGTTTTTATTATATTCTGCATACAAATTAATAATTCTATAATAATTTTTTTTTTTTTTTTTTTTTTTTATGCGGGTATGACAATTTCTCCAGAGCCGCTGTCTAAAGGTTAAAGTTGTCATCAATAATATAGATATACAATAATACAGCCCTAGATGTTATAGATATTTCTACCCGGATATACCTTCCTTCCAATCTGCCAATGTTTAGTTGCTAGTATGTAACTTATATTAGGTTATCATTTTCTTAATTTTTCAATTCAGTGTTTCAGTATGTGTTATCTTTCCTTGTAGCAAGCTTCACTGAGGTAACTCCACACAAATGAATCACATCAACCCCAGGAGTCCTTATTTGCATATTGGACACCAGAGGACAAAACCTGGTCCTCCCCCTCACAAAAGTGCAGAGAGCAACGGGATTCTTATGATCACCTTTGTCAAATAAATAAACACAAAGTAGGCTGAGAAAAGCATAACAGACAACTGCAAGATTCACAGACAATATGAGAAGCAAAGCAGCAAACAACTCTGTAAACTATCCACTCAGTAGTTAGATCGAAACCTTCTCTAGTTATTCCCAGCAACCACCAGGAGGCAGCACCTTCAGGAGCTGCCAGCTCCCTGTTAGCAATCTTTAGTCTGGAGCCTAAGACAACAAACTGATGCCTGGTCGAGGGTAAGGAGGGCTGCCTGTCTTCGTCAACAAAGGCCAAATGCTCGTTAATCTAGCTACCAAACCCCCGTTTATGAATGAAAAACGGTTTACACATGACTCACAACTGATGACATTTGAACATTTCTCGAACAGTGCCTCGCTTATGACTTCTGTTCAAGTTGCAGCTCTGCAAATGCTTCACCCACTTACTTCAAATACAAGTAATTGCCAACAGAACTTAAACAGCTAACCTAACTTTTGTCTAACTATACAGTTAATTTTAATGTATATTAATATTAATTAACAAACGCATTGCCTGGCCGGAGAGGCATATTACGTTCCTAAATAAATCTGCAGATCTTGGGTGGGGACGCACATTGTGTCCCAAATTAAAATATTTGTTAAAATTCCAATTTTTCTTAGAATCATTATGGGACTAGTCAATTGTTGGCCTATGCGCGCCTGTTGATTGCAAACAATTTGATACTAAAATGAACGACACAGCACAAAAATTGAGGTCAGAAAGCTGGAAAGAGAATAAATACTTGTGTAGTGGTGAGCATCCAAAATTAAAATATTTGTGAAAATTCCATTTATTGTGCGATTATTATGGGACTAGTTCTACAATGTGCGCCTTTCGATTGCAAACAGTTTGATACCAAAATGAACGACGTAGCACGAAACTTGAGGTGATAAAACTGAAAAAAGTATACACATTATAATTCTATTGCATGCTCAAAGGTAACGTTCGACCGATTTTTGGGTTTGCTGCAGGTGGCACACTGGGCTTTTTTACCTTGTATGCATATATCCCTTTAGAGAATTTTATTCCGAACAATTTGATACCAAAATCAAGGATGTAACATGAAAATTGAGGTGATAAAACTGAAAAGAGAGATGCATTTTAGTGCCGGTGCGCGCTCCCGGGAAAATGCCTGGCTGACCTTGGGGAAGGCTGGGGCTCATGTGCTGGGCCAGGCAAAGTGTTAAACTGCATCTGGCAATCTTTTGACCATTTCAAAACCCTATTTAGATCTTCTTGAATTTTTTTCCATGTTTATTTTCCCTCCTGATTTTTGTATCATTGGCAAATTTGCAAATATTGCTGCTCAAACCTGAATCTAAATAATTTATATATATATTATGAATAACAGGGGATCCAGGACAGACCCTTGAGGCACTCCACTTACAACATTTTCCCACTCTGACTTAACCCCATTTATACTAACTTGTTTCCTTTGGTGTAGCCATGCCCTAATCCAACTTAATATAGCACCCCTCAATACCATAAGCATCTATCTTCTTAATCAGTCTTTCATGTGGTACTGTATAGTACCACATGACTATACAGTCATGTGGTATATGACATGTGGTATATGTCATGTGGTATATAAAGCTTTGCTAAAGTCAAGGTACACAACATCACAAACTTTACCACTATCAACTGCCTCAACTATGTTGGAATAAAATGATAGCAAATTTGTTAAACATGAACAGCCATTAGTAAAACAATGTTGTGAATCATTTATTAATCTATGTTTTTCAAGATGAAGATGAATAATGGTATTTGCAATTATTGATTCAATGCAACTTTCTCACAATAGACGTTAAGCTAATTGGTTGATAGTTTGAAGCAAGTGATGAAAATAGGATGAATGTAAGGAAGAGGGAAGAATAGGATGAATGTAAGGAAGAGGGAAGAATAGGATGAATGTAAGGAAGAGGGAAGAATAGGATGAATGTAAGGAAGAGGGAAGAATAGGATGAATGTAAGGAAGAGGGAAGAATAGGATGAATGTAAGGAAGAGGGAAGAATAGGATGAATGTAAGGAAGAGGGAAGAATAGGATGAATGTAAGGAAGAGGGAAGAATAGGATGAATGTAAGGAAGAGGGAAGAATAGGATGAATGTAAGGAAGAGGGAGAATAGGATGAATGTAAGGAAGAGGGAAGAATAGGATGAATGTAAGGAAGAGGGAAGAATAGGATGAATGTAAGGAAGAGGGAAGAATAGGTTGAATGTAAGGAAGAGGGAAGAATAGGATGAATGTAAGGAAGAGGGAAGAATAGGATGAATGTAAGGAAGAGGGAAGAATAGGATGAATGTAAGGAAGAGGGAAGAATAGGATGAATGTAAGGAAGAGGGAAGAATAGGATGAATGAAGTAAGAATAGGATGAATACACACAGTGTAATCAAACTATCATGATGTATCAATGCGATGTGAGCCCCCTCTTCTGTTTGTTCCTTTATTAATCTATTTATTTCAGCCTGAAGAAGACTGTTTCCTCTCAGAGGTGCCATTGAGTATGCACTGGGGAGCTATGGAGGGCCAGCATGGAAATATTGTCAAATTGAATTAAACCATCTTTATTTTTTCTGTGTGGTCTCACTAGCTCCCTATACCTGCATTTGTTTAACCTTTCTTGTGTGTGCACCTGGGGAGTGGCACGTGAGGAAGGCGGCCAGCACACTGGATCTCCCCATGGTGACCCAAGTTAGTGGTGCATTTTGGTACAGTACTAGCACATGGTTTGTTGACATTAAGCAAACTATCATATCCTTTATTTCCATCTTTTCTCTCTAATTGAGATAAATAGTTTTGTTTTGCTGTGCCTGTACTTTTGAATTTGGATTGATTTTGGAATCCCATGCTCCCCTTGCTTCTAAGAACACACCAGACATTGTGTGTTGGTGTTTAGTAGGCCTTGGCAAGTCCAAAACCCTGGTAGTTTTGTAGATATCTCTCTGGTACCAGAGCCAGTGCACCAGGAATCTACTGAAGCCTCCCTGAAAAGGGAGTTTCATTACATTCAGTAATTGACTTTAACAGATGATTTCCGCAACATACAACTGGAGAATTCAACTCGAGCAACTCCAGACCAAGTAGATGCAGCCAAAGCTGTTATCAAGAAATTGCACTTCAAGTACGCACCAGAGAACTTTGATAATCCTGATATTCAAACCCACTGGCGCAACATTGAAGCCTTGGCCCTTAACAGATCACAATTAGACCCTGTGGTGGATTACACCGGTGAGTTGAATGGTACTTTTTGTCTTTACTACTGTGTTGGAAGTGTTTCCGGGTATTTGAAACAAGTAAATAATATAAATGTTAAGATAAATATGTTTGAGACATTTTAATGTAAATTTAAATGGGAAAATAGAAAAAAAATGTGGTGGGAGGATTTGAGGAGGGCTAGTTGTGTGGTGAGGAATGAATGAAAATGATGATGGTAAAGATGAAATGGTATCTTTATCCATACTAGAGAAGGAGGTTATGTGTGTTATATGTATCGGGTTATGGCTGTGTTAATTCACGAATATCTTGGACTGAGTGTAAGATATGAAGATATACTGCACATGTTTGTAAGTACATATACGGAGTTATATATAACTCCAGTATTTAGTGGGATTATTAAAGGAAAAACAATAAGGGGATGGAAAACTAAAAGTTGGTAAGAAAATTGTGCTGGAGGGCATGAATATCCGAGGTGGAGAATGAATGCTGGATTGTTGGAGTGTATCGAGTGTAAATTGGAATTTCTTGGTGGATATGTGATTGGGAAGGGAAATGTTTCTATTAAATATTTTCTTTAGAATAGGGCTATGTATAGAAACTAATGAAGTGGAGCAAAAATGACCTCTGACTTATTGTTCCTATGGGTTTAACAGCCAGTTTTGAAACCAATATATGGATCCATATTTGACGTCATCATCTCGTAAAGGCGAATTATGGCCATTGAATTTACCTTGCTCAGTATTTGTTAAGTGGGCAGTTGTTATTGGATTTGTTGTGACACAATTTTTGCCCTCCCTAGGTCAATGCTTTCCACAACACTTACAGAGTGATAGGGAGAGTACCAAATATTTTCATGGAGTGACTGTGAAAGAATGTACCAGTGTGTCCCTGGAGTGACTGTAGGTGTGAGAATGTACCAGTATGTCCCTAGAGTGACTGTGGGTGTCACTGGACATCAGTCTGTTTCATTTAGTACCAAGGGGGGGAGAAAATGTTTGTTTGATCAGATGCACCATTGGCCTCCTTCACCGGTGGAGATTGAGAGATGCTTGGGGGGGAGGGGGGGGTCATGAAACATCAGCTACAATCCAGATAAACTTAAAGCAGATCAAATCTACAAGTCACTGGTATTAGCTGATCTTTATACTTTTAACCACGCTGTAATCACCAATACATATATATATCCATATTCTGACTTTGGAAATTGTTGATAGTGAAGGCAGTTTAACACTTTAGTGCGCGCGGCACTTGCTGAAAATAAAGCGGGTTGTGCGCGCGGCGTTCTGGGCGCTCGAGCGTAAACACAAAAAAGTGTATAATCTTTTCACGCTCCTAACATCAATTCTCGAGCTACGTTTTTCATTTTGGTATCAATGCGTTGGCAATAAAATTCTCTACAAGATCATATGCATAAAATGTCACCAAAGCATTTGCTATCCCACCACGAAGTAAATAAACACGAAAATGACTCGCCGTGACACCCAAACAGGAAGTAAATGTTCATACTCTTTCGTTTGTTGCCAGCCTCACAGTCATCCTACAGCGCTTATTTTGATATCACTGAACTCGCAATAAAATTCCCCACCCAGACACATGCCTACCAATGTCTAATTATGGTATCGGGTGACCCGCACGAGTGTGGGAACTGGGCGAAGCGTTAGCCGTGATTTCAGCAGCGACGACACTGTTGTGATGCAGCGCTTTGAAAGTTTATACTTATTTCACTGTCCTGACAATATTTCTTGAGCTACGTATTTCATTTTTATAGCAATGTGTTCGCAATAGAAAGTTCTATAAGAACATGGGTAGAATTGGCCAACAGAGCGTCAAATAAATTTGCGGCGAATAAAATCTTACGCGAATCTTACGCGTGTTTGTACCCGTGAGCGTAAAAAGTTTTTACTTTGCTCATGTTTTTTCAAGTTTATACTTGATTCACACCGTTTTTTTTGTTTGTATAGTGTTCGGAATAAAATTCTCTACACAGACATATGCATATAAATGTAGAATCATGATCGCGGCCAACACAAGGGTGTGTGAAGTGGGCAATTACCCTCGTTGTGTCACCAACTCAATAGTCTCTCCTCTAAGTTACAATACATTGCCGTTTTCTCAAATAGGCATTGTGCCTATTAGAGAAAACGAAAATTTATTGGCAAACATATTCATACAAACCCCAAGTCGATCGAGTAGTAAATACCCAATATAAAACACGGTCCGTAAATTTACCTTGTGATCCGACAAGCGGTTAAGCAAAACGCCCGTAATTCCAAGTGGAAAATCCAGGAAAGTGTTAAAATAGTACTTTATATATTCAAAGATATATGGATCAGTGAGTATATTTCAGTGATTAAAAAGATTGAAAAACAATTGTGTGGAGTTTATTTCTAAGTGTGTCAACATCATCATCAGCCAAAAGATGTTACATCATTTAGCCAAAACCAACAGTTACTACAGTAAGAAATTAAACATAATTTGCCACAAATGTGCCAGTGTGTTCCTGGAGTGACCGTGAATGTGAGCGGCGCAAGTGTGTGCTTGGATGGGTTTGTGCATTGGAAATGCTGTAATTACTGAGGGTGCATGTAGAAGTCAAGAGTGGTGTGTGGTGGTGTTTGATGACATGATATTTCTCATTAAAAAGTGGCTGATTAGCAAATATTTTCTTTACAACATTATTCTCACCAAATGAACCTATCGAAGCTATCTAAGCACGAATTAGTAAGAAATGCAGTATAATGAAAATAACTTCAAAATGCATGTGAAATTTAATGAAAGTTGGTAAATAAATACATAACAAAAATATAGGCGATTTAATATACAGTACAGTATTGTATATTCAGTATAATAACTATAGGTATTCTTAAATAAAAAACTACTTCAGTCTAAATTGATTCTTAGTATGGAATTTTAAATTTAATATAGTTGTCTACAAATTTTATTTTAAATTTGCTGCAGTGCTTATATCCATTAATTGATATAATTTGTCTTCCTTAACAAGTACCCGACAATGAACGCATACAGAAGAAAGCTGGATCATTACTAAAGTCTCTTCAAGATCTTGTTTATCCTTCTTCATACGATCCAGCTCAATCTGCCAAGAAACGGCCAGCTGCAAGCTCCAGTGCAGCACAAAAGAGAGTTAAATCTGATCCAGCAAGTGTTGATGTTGAAGCCATGGCCAAGGCCGGCAAGGTAAGTGTTGCTTAACCCTTAAACAGCTAAGCTGTACAAAATCTCTACATCCAGGTGTGCATGGGAAAATAGTATTGGAAACCCACAAGGATAATTAATAAAAACAAACAAAAACACAAATGTTAGTGATTTTAGGATAGGAAAATATGAGAGAGACAAGTATCGCCCCTTAAGGGTGATATTTAATGGAGTGAAACATATGACGGAAATGCTTAGAAATGCCAGGAAATTGCAGTGATGAGGATGGCAAACTTTGGTCAATAAGACAAGACCTCTCAAAGGGAGACAGAGAAAAGCTGAAAATAAACCTCAATGAAGCGAAATGTCTAAATGGGAATAGAAATGAAGAAGAAAGAAATTCTTTGTTTCTACAAGTGTTAGGGACAGAAAAACTAGTGAAATGGTACACAAAACAAAGCAACAAAATCACTAGAGGAAGGGGGAGTAAAATACAAAGGAAAAGGGAACATGTTCCTGAATTTTTTTTTTATACCATCATTGATGGAGTGAGATAATAAATACTGGAGCTAAAAGATATGTCAGCTTAAGGTCCCAAATATTGTCACACTAACAGATGAAACTTGAAGAAAATATTTTAAATGAGGTTGTATTACTAAGGGGCTACTGAGTTTTAAGAAGTGAAAGAAAAACTAGGAAGGGGAGAAGAGTGGCTGTGGTGGTGAAAGAACACTTGAAGGTGAGAGAGTTAATAATCGAAAACCCTCGAGAAGTTGACATAATGGCATTGTAGGTTTGGAATCGGGATGATAAACTGATAATCATAAATGCATACAGCTCACCAGCAAGCAACACATGGACAAAGGAGGAACTAGATGACAAATAAGGGGCCTCATTGTAACAGGGTCAACAACTAGTCAACAAATTCATAGAGGTATCTCAAGAAGAGGTAGAAAAATTACTTGAGAGGCTAGGAAGAAATAAGGCAGTTGGACCTGATGGAGCTGTGAGAATGTACAACTGAGCTGAGCATTCCACTCCAATTAATATTCCAGATATCCTTGTGCACAGGAATCTAAGTAGATACAGGGGTATCTCAGTTTACAAATTTAATCTATTCCTGGAGACAGTTCGTAACCCAAAAATTTGTAAACCAAAGCAAATTTCCCCCTAAGAAATAATGGGAAATGAATTAATCCGTTCCTGACTCTCCAAAAAATTAACTTCAAGGTAAATTTTATACCTAATTCATCCAAATCTTCACTACAAAATTATGTACAAGTTATTACTTACCTTTACTGATGACTCCTGTTGGCGTATACAAGACAGTGAGGAGAAGTTTCTGTTTGGAAAGAGAGTCCCCTTCCATTATAACATCAGGTAGTGAGGACTTCCCTGGGCTTCGTCAGAAATCCCCAGATTCAATTTATTTTGGAGGTTTACAAGAAAATCATAAAATTTTCTTAGGTTTTTACAGGAATCCTAGATTTTTTTTATTGTTCCTAAATTTTTTTGTTGGGCATGTACAATTTTTCTTGTCCATTCTTTTTTTTAATTTTGCAAAATTTCAAGAAAATCCCAAAATTTTTCCTAGAATAAAATTTCCCAATAGTTTTGTAGAGTATTTTGATTTTGTTGGAATTTTGAAATTCAAAATTAAAAAAAAAAAAAATTTTAGATTTTACATGAAATATTCATGCACCTCCTTGTGGAATATCTCGATTTTCAGGAGGATCACCTGTTTTGCTTTCTTAATGTCCCTGGATAGAATTCTTGGTGAATCTGATATCAAAGGTATCACTTTCCTTGTGCAATTTTGTTCTCGTATTGGCATCATCAGTGATATTTAGTGCATGCACCACTGATGGTGCTGCATAGTCTCCCTAGCTTGGAGCCTTTTGATAATTACTTGCTTTAATTATTCTATAATCATATATTTTTTTAACAGGCTGACAAACTGACCATGGAGATTCTCAAGAAATGGTTGCAAGAGCGAGGTGTGAGAGTTTCTGGCAAGAAGAAAGCTCAACTTGTTCAAGATGTCTTGGATGAAGTTGGTCAGTAATAACCACCAACAGAATTCTCATGCAGAAAGTAAATAATTTGTATTTCATTGTGCTGCATAAATTTAGTGTTCTTGGCAGATAGCAAGAAGACGGTTTTCTGTGCTAATAACATGAACTTGCCAACAAAAGTTTGTTATAAATGTGAGTTTTGTAACACAAAAAAAAAAATTTGTACAAATTTACTTTTTTCCATTAAGCATGTAAAATAAAGTTTTATAAAGATGAAGTTGTATAACCTTACTTCTCCATCCCATGACAGTGGGAACTTTGTTATTAGGTATGTATGTTGCCTTAATAATAAAATAAGTGTAGCTACGTTAATGTTTAAAATGGATACAAAGAAGTAGAGCAAACAAGATTCACACTACATCCTGTGTGATATCAATAAATTTGATATAAGTCAACCAGTCTCTGAGACATACAATTTCGCTACCGGCGAAAATCGCGAGATTTTTGGCCGCTAGCTGCGAAAATTGCACGGTTTTTGGCCGCTAGCAGCGAAAATCGCGCGGTTTTTGGCCGCTAGCGGCAAAAATCGACCGACTTTCGCCGCTAGCGGCCAAAAAAGGGGCTATTTTTGCCGCTATCGGCCAAAAACCGTGCGATTTTCGCAGCTGGCTGGCAAAAATTGCGCGATTTTCGCCGCTACCGGCCAAAAATCGCGCGGTTTTCGCCGCTACCGGCCAAAAACCACGCGATTTTCGCAGGTAAAGGCCAAAAATTGCGCGATTTTCTTCAGTGACTAGTGTACCTTGGATTTCAATCCTGTGAGGTTGTATTGATCAGTCTTATTTATGGACCACAGTCCTCTAGCTCTGCTTCCCTCAGTGCAGATGGGCCTCAACTGCTGGCAGAAGAAGCAGATCTTGGACAGATGGGTTGAATACTTTGATCAGGTCCTTAACTACCCTGCCGCAATCAACGATAAGGCCATTGCTTACCTACCTCGAGTGAAGATCAACCAAGATCTTAATAAACCTTCCACAAAAAAAGTCAGGAAGGCCATCAAGCAGTTTTCCTGTGGCAAATGGCCAGGATCAGATACTCTACCTGTTTGATGGGGTTCTGAGAGTTGTTCTACTTCGCCTGAGGCCAGGCTTGGCCTCTGGAAAAATTGAGTAAAAATGCTGAAGTGTACAAAACAGGCGGGTCAACCATGATGCAGAAACTGACAAAGCTCTTCCAGTCCATGTGGAATGAAGGGAAGGATGCACAACAGTTTAAAATATTCCAGCATAGTTCACATCTACAAGAGGAAAGGCAACCGTAAGTCTTGATAATCACTATGGTATTTCAGTCCTGTCCATCGCCTTCAGGGGAGCCGGTTGGCCGAGCGGACAGCACGCTGGACTTGTGATCCTGTCAAAATTGGGCGACTTTCGCTACTTTTTATGCCAAAATTGGGCTACTTTCGCTACTTTTTAGGGCAAAATTGGGCTACTTTCGCTACTTTGTAGCCCAAAATTGGGCTACTTTCACTACTTTGTAGCTCAAAGTTGGGCTTTCGCTACTTTGTAGCCCAAAATTGGGCTACTTTCGATACTTTGTAGCCCAAAATTGGGCTACTTTCGCTACTTTGTAGCCCAAAATTGGGCTACTTTCGCTTTGTAGCCCAAAATTGGGCTACTTTCGCTACTTTGTAGCCCAAAATTGGGCTACTTTTTAGGCCAAAATTGGGCTACTTTCGCAACTTTATAGGCCAAAATTGGGCTACTTTCGCTACTTTTTAGGCCAAAATTGGGCTACTTTTGCTACTTTGTAGCCCAAAATTGGGCTACTTTCGCTACTTTGTAGCCCAAAATTGGGCTACTTTCGCTACTTTTTAGGCCAAAATTGGGCTAGTTTCGCTACATTTTAGGCCAAAATTGGGCTAGTTTCGCTACTTTTTAGGCCAAAATTGAGCTATTTTCGCTACTTTGTAGCCCAAAATTGGGCTACTTTCGCTACTTTTTAGGCCAAAATTGGGCTAGTTTCGCTACTTTTTAGGCCAAAATTGGGCTACTTTTTAGGCCAAAATTGGGCTATTTTCGCTACTTTGTAGCCCAAAATTGGGCTACTTTCACTACTTTTTAGGCCAAAATTGGGCTACTTTCGCTACTTTTAGGCCAAAATTGGGCTACTTTCGCTACTTTTAGGCCAAAATTGGGCTACTTTCGCTACTTTTTAGGCCAAAATTGGGCTACTTTCGCTACTTTTTAGGCCAAAATTGGGCTACTTTCGCTACTTTTTAGGCCAAAATTGGGCTACTTTCGCTACTTTTTAGGCCAAAATTGGGCTACTTTTTAGGCCAAAATTGCTACTTTTTAGGCCAAAATTGGGCTACTTTCGCTACTTTTAGGCCAAAATTGGGCTACTTTCGCTACTTTTTAGGCCAAAATTGGGCTACTTTCGCTACTTTTTAGGCCAAAATAGAGCTACTTTCGCTACTTTTTAGGCCAAAATTGGGGTACTTTTTTGCTACTTTTTAGGCCAAAATTGGGCTACTTTCGCTACTTTTTAGGCCAAAATGGGGCTACTTTTAGGCCAAAATTGGGCTACTTTCGCTACTTTTAGGCCAAAATTGGGCTACGCTTTTTAGGCCAAAATTGGGCTACTTTCGCTACTTTTAGGCCAAAATTGGGCTACTTTCGCTACTTTTAGGCCAAAATTGGGCTACTTTCGCTACTTTTTAGGCCAAAATTGGGCTACTTTCGCTACTTTTTAGGCCAAAATTGGGCTACTTTCGCTACTTTTTAGGCCAAAATTGGGCTACTTTCGCTACTTTTTAGGCCAAAATTGGGCTACTTTCGCTACTTTTTAGGCCAAAATTGGGCTACTTTCGCTACTTTTTAGGCCAAAATTGGGCTACTTTCGCTACTTTTTAGGCCAAAATTGGGCTACTTTCGCTACTTTTTAGGCCAAAATTGGGCTACTTTCGCTACTTTTTAGGCCAAAATTGGGCTACTTTCGCTACTTTTTAGGCCAAAATTGGGCTACTTTCGCTACTTTTTAGGCCAAAATTGGGCTACTTTCGCTACTTTTTAGGCCAAAATTGGGCTACTTTCGCTACTTTTTAGCCCAAAATTGGGCTACTTTCGCTACTTTTTAGGCCAAAATTGGGCTACTTTCGCTACTTTTTAGGCCAAAATTGGGCTACTTTCGCTACTTTTAGGCCAAAATTGGGCTACTTTCGCTACTTTTTAGGCCAAAATTGGGCTACTTTCGCTACTTTTTAGGCCAAAATTGGGCTACTTTCGCTACTTTTTAGGCCAAAATTGGGCTACTTTCGCTACTTTTTAGGCCAAAATTGGGCTACTTTCGCTACTTTTTAGGCCAAAATTGGGCTACTTTCGCTACTTTTTAGGCCAAAATTGGGCTACTTTCGCTACTTTTTAGGCCAAAATTGGGCTACTTTCGCTACTTTTTAGGCCAAAATTTCGCTACTTTGTAGCCCAAAATTTCGCTACTTTTTAGGCCAAAATTGGGCTACTTTCGCTACTTTTTAGGCCAAAATTGGGCTACTTTCGCTACTTTTTTGGCCTAAAATTTCGCTACTTTTTAGCCCTACTTTTTTTAGGCCAAAATTGGGCTACTTTCGCTACTTTTTAGCCCAAAATTGGGCTACTTTCGCTACTTTTTAGGCCAAAATTGGGCTACTTTCGCTACTTTTAGGCCAAAATTGGGCTACTTTCGCTACTTTTTAGGCCAAAATTGGGCTACTTTTACTTTTTAGGCCTAAAATTGGGCTACTTTCGCTACTTTTTAGGCCAAAATTGGGCTACTTTCGCTACTTTTTAGGCCAAAATTGGGCTACTTTCGCTACTTTTTAGGCCAAAATTGGGCTACTTTCGCTACTTTTTAGGCCAAAATTGGGCTACTTTCGCTACTTTTTAGGCCAAAATTGGGCTACTTTCGCTACTTTTTAGCCCAAAATTGGGCTACTTTCGCTACTTTTTAGGCCAAAATTGGGCTACTTTTCGCTACTTTTTAGGCCAAAATTGGGCTACTTTCGCTACTTTTTAGGCCAAAATTGGGCTACTTTCGCTACTTTTTAGGCCAAAATTGGGCTACTTTCGCTACTTTTAGGCTTTTAGCCCAAAATTGGGCTACTTTTGCTACTTTTTAGCCCAAAATTGGGCTACTTTCGCTACTTTTTAGCCCAAAATTGGGCTACTTTCGCTACTTTTTAGGCCAAAATTGGGCTACTTTTGCTACTTTTTAGCCAAAAATTTTCGCTACTTTTTAGGCCAAAATTGGGCTACTTTCGCTACTTTTTAGGCCAAAATTGGGCGCTACTTTTAGCTAAAAATTTTGCTACTTTGTAGCCCAAAATTTCGCTACTTTCTCGCCCAAAATTGGGCTACTTTTTAGCCCAAAATTGGGCTACTTTCGCTACTTTTTAGGCCAAAATTGGGCTACTTTCGCTACTTTTTAGCCCAAAATTGGGCTACTTTGCTACTTTTTAGGCCAAAATTGGGCTACTTTCGCTACTTTTTAGGAAGAAAATGGGCTACTTTCGCTACTTTTTAGCCCAAAATTTCGCTACTTTTAGCCCAAAATTTCGCTACTTTTGCTACTTTTTAGCCCAAAATTTCGCTACTTTTGCTACTTTTTAGCCCAAAATTTCGCTACTTTCGCTACTTTTTAGCCCAAAATTGGGCTACTTTCGCTACTTTTTAGGCCAAAATTGGGCTACTTTTACTTTTTAGGCCAAAATTGGGCTACTTTCGCTACTTTTTAGCCCAAAATTGGGCTACTTTCGCTACTTTTTAGCCCAAAATTGGGCTACTTTCGCTACTTTTTAGGAAAAAAATGGGCTACTTTTGCTACTTTTTAGGCCAAAATTGGGCTACTTTCGCTACTTTTTAGGCCAAAATTGGGCTACTTTCGCTACTTTTTAGCCCAAAATTGGGCTACTTTCTCGCCCAAAATTGGGCTACTTTCGCTACTTTTTAGGCCAAAATTGGGCTACTTTTCAGGCCAAAATTGGGCTACTTTCGCTACTTTTTAGCCCAAAATTGGGCTACTTTCGCTACTTTTTAGGCCAAAATTGGGCTACTTTCGCTACTTTTTAGGAAAAAATTGGGCTACTTTTGCTACTTTTTAGCCCAAAATTGGGCTACTTTCGCTACTTTTTAGGCCAAAATTGGGCTACTTTCGCTACTTTTTAGCCCAAAATTGGGCTACTTTCGCTACTTTTTAGCCCAAAATTGGGCTACTTTCGCTACTTTTTAGGCCAAAAT